CAATATGTCTGATTTCCCCAAAGGTAACTCAATGACTGATAGTTATCACGTGGCTGAACCTGGCCCAGTATCCATCTGTATCTTTACAGTAGATACAAAAACTAAACATCTGTCTAGGCTGATGCTTGAACTTGCACCTCAGTCCTGTAATTTTCCCTACCATCTTTAATATTTTTCTGGTGTAACAGATATGATGCATCAGAGAAGCAATCTATTTCATGTCAGCAGTTGTGTATTCCAAATTAGTTTATGATTGCATTTAATAATGTACTATAGGTACCTTGTCTTTCCTAAATAACTAAACTGTCAGGAACAGGGTTTTTTGTTTCACAAAATATTTAGTGTAAATTTTTCCAAAATAACCAAAACATTCACAGATCCAAATACAAGTGAAATCCTTCAACAATTAAATATGCTTCTGGTTTATAAAAAAGCTTTTTTTTTTCATTACTAATTTTCATTCCTAGTAGTCATTACAAATTGGAAAATCAAAATATGTTCAAAAAACTGAAATAGAAACTCAAACTGGAACATTCTACTGCAGTTTTCTTTCAAAGAGAGTTAAGAAAGAGAGCTTGTCTGCAGAACACGGGTGACAGAAAACATGTTCAGAACAAGGAAGAGCTCCATCACAGGAAACACGTAAGCAGTGCAATAAAAAAACTCTTCAGTAAGAGTTCTGCATTTCTGGAACATAACAAGTGTCCAAAGGCTCCAGACAAACAATTTACCCCTGTCTTGTAGTCCCAATCATCATGCTCAGTTCTGTCTGCATTTAGGTTGCTGAACTAAGGAAAAGGGGGTCTTCCTGCTGCTTGTTCCCAAAGCTCAGCATTTTACTTTAAAACCAAGACAAACTTTCTGCCTTCTCACAAGCTTCTCTCAGTAGATATAAAGTACCTTCTGTATAGAGTGTCCTTCATAGAGAATTGCTGTTTCTTGGCTAAGATCTCTGGTGTCTGGGTTGCACAATTCAGGACTGACCAGAAGTAGACACGAGTCCTTTAAAAGCTTGACTTTCCCTGTGGCATTCTCCTTTGCATCGTTTCTAGAAGCAGACAGTAATTCTAGGCAGCACTGAAGTTAACAGTGGTAAAGAAACTTCTATCCCCAAAGCTAAGAGGTAATTTTTATTCCACTCACTGTCCCTGCCCTCTGGAGAGGACCAAAGGGAACCTCTTTTTCCTTTTTTTAACTCTCTATCTGGGTTGCAAAGATGGATGCAGTAACAACAAAGGGACAAACATGGAGAGCTGCATTACAAACCAATTCATCAGAAAACATAGCACGCCTGCTTTACAAATTTGCCTGCAGCTCTTGTCTGCTGTGTTATTTTTAAACTGCCTGCAGGTTGCAGATTTTTGAGAAGCCCTTCTCCTAAAAGTATACATAGAGGATTTAGAAAAGCACAACTTGCTGCAAACTGAAGTTACCAAATTCCCAGCATATTAAAATTTATCATCCTTCACCTTCCCATAAACTTCTTGGTGCAATTTGTGCATTCACAAGAAGATTTCCCAAGAGTCTCACAGCACTTCTCCATGGCAAGGTCAGTACACCTTCAGAATACCTGAGCTCTGCATTCCTGGTGTGCCCAACTGCCACGCATCAGCCTGCAGTTGCTGTAATCAGGCATAATTCTACTGTATCTTTGGATTATCATAGAAAAAAAAACACAAAAACAACAGTAAGTTAGACTCAACATCAGTAGAAGCACACAGCACAGCCACATTCATCTCCAGTTGGGCTGATGTGGACTGAGTGTGGGTTAAACTCATGCTCACTCAGCCTTGTACAACAAGTGCCCCTCATCCTAAATTGCACATCAAGTTAAGCTGTTGCTCATTTACACTGCTGATTCAGAGAGCCCTGATTTGATTCTTGGCTGTTTATATTTCTCAGACATCCTCCATGTAATTACATGGCCTGGCCCCAGGCTATCAGGCTCTGGAAGGAATAACCACATTATTCCACAGAACATAACATAATTAAAATACTGACTGCAGTTTAAAAAATGTGCTGAATACTTCACAGAGTGGTTGGAGGGTTGGCAAGTCTTGGCAGCTTGTTGGCTGTGGGAGCTGGCTGATATTTAGATGCGCCTGCACCTTCAGCATTCATTGCTGTACGTGGGAACTGCTTTTTGTGCTGTCAACTTCTTGTTTCACAAGAAGCCAACCTACATGCACAAAGAAATGAACTAACTGGAAATGAGAAACTCCAAGGACTTTCTTGTGTTTCTTAGTGCTAGTGAGACCACTTCCTTGTTATTTATGACTTCAGGACATCTGACTTGCTATGCCTTCTTCTATGTTTCCAAATGTACACTGAAGGAACTGCATATGGTGCAAATGTACAAGGTGATACAACCATTTGCTTAAGAACTGTTCTCATTGTATGAGAAAGCTTTAATAAGCTAAGAAAAACAAAACAACAACAACAAAACACGAAAATCTCCACTGGAATGTTTGATTTTTATCTGTATTTCATTTGTAACAAGTCTAAAGCATAAATAGTTACATTTCCAGTCCCAGAAGGGCAGAAGGTGATGGAAAAAAAACCATCTACAGGACTGATGAAAACGACAGGAGCACTGAGGTGGCAGGGCATTTAGGGAATGCTTAGTGCCTTTGCAGTACCTCCCCATTCTCTTTCTTAGGGAAATATCTGGGATAAGAAACACTGCTACAGACGTACGGCTTTGGGTTTGAATGACTTCCTGGTTCTGATTAAATCCCCTGCTATCTGGCAAAAATGGTAAAGCGATCTCATGCTGCCAGCGTTCAATAAAACACATGGATAATGCCTAAATCACTTTGCAGGCATCTACATCTGAATGAAATGCAGTAGAAGCAGCAACTTGCCAAAGTACTGCTTTAAATGAGCTTTTCATTTAATCTTCACTCACATGCTCGAGAAATTCATGGGATGACAGGAGATGTTCATGAAGCACTGCAGCCTCACAAGCACAGACATGGATGGCTGAGCTCAGGCTGTCCTGCTCCACTGCAGAAGCTTCCAAAGACAAGGATCAGGTTTAGTCTGATGTACAGCTCTTCTGAGATGAGCTAATTTTGTGAACAGTTCCATTCCCACTCAAGGGATGTCACAAGCAATGGCCAAATGTTTTTTTCTGAGGCTTCTATTACAGCCTTAAAGTAATCATAATAGCAAATTAATAGCAGATCTACTCTGTCATTTTCCATTCTCATTGCCATCTCTGTAATGAAGAGCAACTCTACTTCTTCAAAGCTTTTTCCGTGACACTTCTCAATTTTGAATGTGCAATTAGAAATAAGTGTGATAACTTTTGGCACTCTAGCTGTGGTCTGTAGGCTACTGGCCTCCCTCTGTGCTAGGCTCAGTGCTAGTTTCTGTTTTCAGCTTCTTAATATTGACCTCCAAACTAAACCATAACTGTCATCTTGGACATCATTCTTTCAAAAACAGAAATATATTTATATGTACCTTCCAAATCTATTACAAATTAAAACCCCAAGATAAACTCTATGTTATGTGAATGAGACAAAAAAAATTTACATAGAAGGAGAATCCACAGGACACATTCAGTGAGAGGGGCAAAAAAATTTCTACAGACTCTTCTTTGTTCTGATAGTGTCCGTGGCCAAGTTTTCAGTTTTTCTCCACTGAATGATTCATCTCTATTACCAGTATTTTCAAAATTAAATGGAAGAGGAGGAATGTGTTCATTCCCCTGCTGGGTTTAATAATCTTCCAGAAATTGTTTCCTGTTTACTTGGAAATCCCCACCTCCATACTGTGATTTAAACACGTTCACCCCGTTAACTTAAAAACAAAACCTAGATGATGCTGTATAGTTTTTGTCTAGCAGTCATAAAGCAATTTGTAATAAATGTTTTTTCAGAGAGAAGTTTCTTGGAAATGTGCATATGTTCATAGCTCCACGTTGCTTATTTAGATCGTATGTTATTACTCAACAACAAACTGTCATTCAGGTTTTATTTATGTACCACATCTGATGACTGATGGCAGCTTCTCATTCAACAACCACTATACTGGTGCTCAAATACAAATCTTAATGAAGCCATCAATAACCCCATTTATGGACCTGTGCTACTTTGTTTCATGGTTTGGGCCATCACTCAACTATGAACAGTCAGTATACATCATTTCACACAGCAAAATCTTGACTGCATTTTCAAGACAAAATATTAAAAATACTTAAATTGCTTTTCCAGCCAAAATGTTATGTGTGAATTCCTGTGGCTTGGCAGGACGAAAGGGAAAGAAATTTCCCTTTAACTTCCTCAAGGAATAAATTTGCACAATAGCTTCAAGATTTTATTTACGTAGCATATATCAAACTATTCTTATATAAAAGCATTAGCTCATACAAGTCAGTGTGTTCTGTGTTAGCTTTTGTGAAGAGAATTCATGTAGAAGACAGCAATATCCTGTGGCCTGAGAGCAGAACTGGCAGCTGGGTTTTCAGGCAGGACTGAGCTTTCTCACACCCTCTTTAGCTCTTCATAAAGGTCTAAATTTTTCTAAATGAACATTACATTTGTTTGATTAACTGGAGCCTGTGTGGGCTCAATTTGCATATGTGTTAAATTTCTGCTGCTAAAGCTCTCGGGAGTACCCAGCTCTCCATGTATCCAAAGGCTGTAACGCAGAGTTACACAGCCCTTGGGACAGAGAGTAACACCATTCCCTTGCTGAATCAAAGTCAGGAAAGAGATAGAATAAAGCATAGGGTGTACAAATTTAGCACATCTTCCTCTCCATGTACCTAATAGCCTTGATAGATCCCTGAGAGAAGGCAGCAGTGGAGATGCTCAAGTATTTGGCATCCAGACAGGTACTGTGAAAGTCCACAGCCTGGAAAGACACTGGTAGGAAGCAGCAGACAAGACCAAACACTTGTTAGCTGGGGAGCCTCCATTCACGTCCCCTTTTTAAGGCTATGCTGAAGCACTTGGTCTAACTGCTGGCTTTCCTCTCATTTCCCTTCTCAGATGAGATGGAGCAGTCTCCTGCAGTGCGTTCTGACTACTTGGTCTCAGGGATTAGAACTCCACCAGTGAGGAGAAACAGCAAACTGGCAACACTGGGCAGGATCTTCAAACCCTGGAAGTGGCGGAAAAAGAAAAATGAGAAGTTAAAGCAGACCTCTGCAGGTACGATGAGAGCAGTCTGACACTGCACGAAGCAAAGCTCAGCTTGGGAGAAATGTGCTTGCACAGAAATACTAGTGATGACCTGATCTAAATCTAATTTGGAGATCTCAATATGTTATAGATTTATAACATTTAAAACTGGAAAACACTTATATATGCAGGCTTCCTGTATAGTACAATGTCATACATTTAGAAGAAAAGCTAAAAATATGAGTGAAGCACAAACCTTGACATAGACTGCTTTCATGGAGTGTCCTTTCTCCAAATAGACTACATTTATGTCCCCAGGCATCATCACCCATTTTGTTTGGGGTGAAGATTATATAGGTCACAATAACATCATGAGAAGTGACAGGAGGGAACTACAGCATGCAAAATGCCTTCCCTCAAACAGCTGCCTGCAGTAGAGAAGCTCAGCACATGCACTGCACACTCTCACTACTAACCAGGTGTGTCTCAGATCAGTAAGGAGACAAACTTGCCTGCTTTTTCCTCAGAGAAGATGGTGCAGTTCCCTCCACTTTTCTGATACCCTCTGGAGTGTCACAGTGAGGGACACCACCTCCTGCAGCAGCTCCAATACACTGTACCAAACAGCACAAGGCTCTAACACCACTGCTATTCTGCTCTCAGGGTGATCAGCAGCATCTTAGATCATAAATCTCAACTCTGTGTGCTTGATTTTACTGTTTTAACAAAGGAGAAAGTACAAAATTGGCTGATTGGTCCAAGTTCCCCCAAAACTCCTTGCATTTCTTTCCAAGCACACAACACTTGAGACTAGAGAGAAATACCACATTGCAGCTCTCTCAGTCGGGTATGGAATACTCCACTGTAAGCTGGTGCTGTATCATGCTACTACTTCTTGCAGTGCTGGAGAAGAAAATGACAGCACGACAGGGTCGGGATGAACTCATTAAGAAAGGCCTTCTGGAAATGATGGAACAGGGTAAGTAAAAATTCAACAATCAAACAATCAAGTGTATAAAAAAGAAAACCTTTAGTACAAGCAGAAAAAAAAATCAGTATTAGGCTGTTAGTTTTTGTATTTTTTTTAAATCCCTCCCTGTTCCAAGCAGCCCATACAGTTTAATTTTTTGATGTTTTTTCTACCTTGAATGCAGTTCCAGCTTGCCTGGATTTATACATGTTGTGAGTCTGAGCTGGTGGATGTATTTTATGCAATTGCTCTAAACCCAGCTAAATCCAACTGCCAAGAAAGTCAGCTACAACTGGTGCAAATACAAACTGAAACATAACAGATGCATTCAGCAGGGAAGCTTAAAAGTACAGTCCATGACTCCCAATCTCATAAAATCATACTAATGTGATTTTTTTCAGCTGCCTTTCTGGCTTTCCATTCACGAGCAAAAGTGAAGCATTTGATAGTAGTGTCATTTTAGAGCCATCCCAAGTACAAACCAGATTCAGTAGAGGTCACTGAATGAAAGATATGCACAAAGGACTGTGGTTCTGTGTATCACTGTTTCCAAGCCCTAGCAGATGGTTAAGGGATCTGGGTGGCTACCTGGGTGACTATTCTGCAAGACCAAGTGAGCTCCGTGTGTTTTGGACAGCATCCCAATTGCCCTTTCCATGTAAACATAGATTAAAAAAAATAAAATCCTCTTTGCTTTGAAAACTTAATAGCAGAAAGCATTGTACTGAGGAAAGATCAGCCTTTTGAGTTTGACCAATCTGGTAGATAGGAATGATGTTCTTTGAAAGTAATAATTGAGTTCCATTGTATGAAACAAATGCTGTGACTATAAATAGCCTGTGGGACAGCACGCAGTGATGCTATGCTGGCGTGTAACCGAGCAACAGAAGAGTCAGAAAAAAAAAAGAGTATTTTAAACAGGATTTTTTTTTCATTGCATTAAAGCAATTATCATATTATTTTATTGGATATATTTTAACATGGATTAATATGTTCAAGTTACAATACTTATCAAACCATCAGCTTATTCTAAAAGGGGCAGTTTTAGAAGGCACATTTTTAATGCCTTTCCCTTGAGTTTTCTGTCTCTCATTCTGCAAACTAGTCGTCCTATCAGCATATCAGCACCACCTGATAGAAAAAAATACATTCTGTATCTTCTGGGAGTATTGAATTTCCCCATAACCTATGAATTTGAAATCACGGATGTCTGAGCATTGCAAAACAGCAGTAAATAAAACAGCAAAGCACAGAGCTCCTCTAAACACCAAACCAGCTTACAGTACCACCCTGTGCCCAGAAAGGAAGAGCAGCTAACAGTCAGCTGAAGGACACTGCAGCAGCCTCCAAGTTATTTTTCTTTACACAAAGTGCTGTGAATCTCCAGGGTTATTTTATTATATTATCAGCAGAAGTAGCTTATTAACCGGTATCAAAAATTGACCCAAATAATTCTCAGTAAATGATTAGTGCCCTACTTGGACTGAGCTGAAGTGGCAGCAGTTTCAAGGCTAAGTCCTCATTTATGCAGTAAGTTGCAATTGCCAGAGCAGCAGTACTAAGCTAAAAAGACTGCTGTAAATCCTTAAATCTCTCTATTTCATCAGGCTCTACTCTTCTTCTAGATACATGATTACTGCTCACTTTCATAATCAGTCTGAACCATGATGAAGCTCTAGTCTGAGAAATCTGTAGATCTGCTTCATGCAGTTACAACGTCACGCTCCAGCTTCACAGCATAAGGTCTGTCAGGCAGCATTTTGGACCATACTGCTGGCTCAGAGCAAGCCACTGAGCTAGCACAGACTTTGCATCAATCTGCGAGCAGCCCAGGGTGAAGTTGTGCCATCCTTGCTTTGGGGATGAGTCATCCTAACAGGTTATGTCACCCTGTCTCCTCGCACAACCCCAAAACACAGCTGCCCAGCCATGCTGCACAGCCAAATCTGTGGCTCATACATGCCACTCTGCTCGTACATGGCAAATACCAAGCTGCCCTTGGAACCTCCTGAACCTGCCATACAGCTTCACTGTAGCTTACAGGGTACAGGTCCTGCACACAGTGGAATTCTTTCCCAGATAAATCACAGCCCCGATTCTTCTGGTTACTTTGCAATTCCCAAGACTCTGCTGCTTTCTGTACCAGGATATGTGCTTTCTCCCATCCTCAGACTTTGTCTATAACCACGGTGTTGGGAACCACTGCCAATCAAAGCAGAAAGTCCACTTTGCTCTATGCACAAGCTGCTCATTTCTGACAAGGAGCATCACTTCTCTGAGTTTCAGATGTTCCTCAATAGAAATTCTTCAGCAAGGCTGTCTCCTTGTCAATACTCCGTTAGTCATTACGTTCTCATCGGCCAGGATCTGAAGGAGCTCATGTCTCTGTCTGCAGCTCTATTGTGGCACAGCTGTCAGCAGCCTGCCTTTCTGAAGGATGTGAGAAACGTGTGAAGCAGAGTTACCTTGAAAACACTGAGGGAACTTCCCCCAGTATTTCTCCCCTTTGTGAGCACAAAACGAACCAGGTGGAGCTCTGCTTACAGCAATGGGAGGTAAGGGCTGCCTGTCAAGTAACAGAGGCAGCTGTTAATACACCAATGATTATGTATAGGCTGCCTTCCCAATGAGCTGAAATGTAGGCAATGAACTTTTTCCCCCTCCCCTTCCTTGTATCATAGCAACTGTGCTACTGCAGGGACTATTTTAAGAACAGTAACTTTTCACCAAACGTGATTATGAGGCAGAGCTCAGTGTACAAAAATACTGCATCCGTTCCGCAGCATCTCTGGGCCAAAATCTGATACCCTTACCCTAAAGGGCAATAAATTATTCTGCAGATTGTCCAGATTGTATTAAAAAGGAATAGCTGTGAGTGCTAGCTGGTTTTCAATCAGTGTTGAAGAAACCTGCCATGATATCATTGCAAGGAAACAGCCCTGTCAGGGGCTTCCAGAAAGGAGGGTATAGGGCTGAGAAATACGATTTAGAAGTCAGGAGTGGACAGCAGGCATGTCCATCAACATGGACAGATGGCAAGAGTGGGAAGTAATTGCTTTGCTTTGCAATGGTGACGTTGATCTTGTGAATTTCTGAGAGTTGGGCAGTAAAAGGATAGTTTGTATTCTGAGGAATCTTGCTTGAATAAGGGAATACAAGAAAAGCTTCAGTCATCAAGATGCATACAGCTGCAGGGATCACTGGCACAGAAATCTTTCAGAGTAAGCAAAGAGAGCAGTTTCTAGGTCTGCATGAGGAGGGATTTGAATACCTGATCAGCTCAATTATACAAGACATGCTTTTTGAAGCTGAGTATCCAATGCTGTGCCCAAAATCTACAGCTGGGTAGAGAATACTAGCAGTCCTGCCAGCATTACTGCTGGGCAGCTGGACAGCAGTGTCCTGCACATGGAACCTGGCATGACCCTGACATGTCACAGCAACCTGTGCTCATGCTGCACTGTGAGCTCTGCTCAGAGAAGGAATTGCCTCCTTCCAGAGCCCTTTGATCTCCCATGTTCATGCTTATCTTCCACACAGCAGGTGCTTCAAAGCACAGTGGTCTCTATATGTACAGCGCCTAATTAACCAGGTTGCTGGACACGCACAGAAAAAGATGTCTAGAAAATTGGGTGGATGTTAGTGTGCAGATGGGCTGGTATCCATGAGTTTTACATTACAGATGCTCAGTACTTTCAGAAATCAAGTGCTTCTCTAAAAGAAACCTCAGACCCTGACTACTCTGAAATTACTACAGCTTTGAGACTCACTCTGCTAAAGAGGATAGCAGGGAGGTTCAGCTTTCACTGCTCATCGTTTAATTAAGAATAAATGATTTGGTGTTGTAGATACTGAAGGAAAAGCCTGCACTGGTGATGATGCCACAAGAGCAACACAGAGTGACACTCCAGCTTGTGTACCTGTGTGCCAGGCACTCGACTCTGAAGAGATGCAGCAAGAGAGTACAACAGCAGCCACGACAGATGTAACCTCACTTAGTGAAGAGCTGCATTTGGATGAGCTGAAAGAAGATGCAGGTATTGAATAAAAATGTTTCAAAATATAATAAGACGTTAAAAGACATTTCTGCCCAGCAGCTGCATGAGGAGTCAAATATGTTAGTGTGGTGGACAGCCAGAACACCTCATTCAGCTCAGCAGCCACATACTGAGTTAGCACTCGTTATTTTTTATAACAGTGATTTTGAGACTGCTACCAAACTGAGGGACCACACAAATCTTCACATAATGGGGTTAGTTGGATTATGAGACAATCCAGTCTTGGCATGGTGCTCTTTTGGAATTAGCAGCGACTGCTGTGAACATGAAACAAGTTTCTCTCAAAAAAAAATTTCTCAGACTTCTCTGCCAAGGCTGAAGTTGTCTGTCCTGGCTTGAGGAACAACATTCAGTGCACAACTTCTATCTACGCCATCACCCTGCAAACACAAGTGCAGCTCAATGCTGCAAGTACAGATAAGCTAAACCAAGTCCTTCTTGTGGAACTGTGCTTTGGCAAACAGGAGTGGTGAGGGACAGCTGCAGGGTGTTCCACTGACTTCCTGACAGACAGCTTTTCATCCTCAGGTTATGGAATGAAGGTCAAGGACAGGACTATGAGGAAACATTTGTAGAGCTCATGTTTGTTTAATACACAGACAATTAACTCCTTAGGCAGAAGTAGGGCAGCTTGGCCCACGTAACCCAGCCAGTGGGTGTGGGGACAAGCTCAAGGGAAAGATTTTTACCTAGTAGCAAGGTGGCATTTTGACCAGTGGCTCTCCATAAGTAATTGTCTACTCTGTGAAGGAGTCTTGAGCCCTTGGACTATTTTCAGCAGGAAATGTTCACTCTGCAGTATGAAATCTGTTAATAGGTTTGTGTGCTCAAGACTCAGGTCTGCCTTCAGACTCTGACTCAAACATGCTGTTATTAACAAAAACAATGACAGAAAGAAAAACAAAAAACAAAAACAAAACAAAACAAGAAAACAGAAGCAAAGCTTTCTTTTCTGGGGCCATAAAATGATTTTTAGACAATAGTACATGATATTTCTGTGATACCACTCTGAACACAATCAAGTTCAGAAGGTGTGTTTGAGGCTGAGCATTTTTCAGGTCCACCCTCCCTACCTGCATAGTCCCACTATGGCTGCTCACTGCACTTTCACTGAGCATCCTCTCATATCACAGGGAGTGAAATTACTGCCAGAAGAAAGTACCATTCAACTCAAGGAAAAGCATCCAAATATGACTGATTTTCTTGGCAAGCCACTAACATCTTTCTTCCTCAATTTTTCTTTCCTATTTCACGTCTTCCATACTTGTAGGAATAAAAATACAAACTGATGTCAGCCTAGAACAAAGCATTTCCCTATAAATATATATTTAAAAGGAAATTAGGTAGTAATTTTGGTAACTATCACATAAGGAGGCTTTCCTAACAAGTCACATTTGTGTATTTATTCTAATTTCCTGTCATTCTTGAATGACAAATACTCATTCCTCCTCTTCTAGGCACATTTATTCATCTGTTAGTCAACAAATTAAATGCTATTATCTTGCCAATGCTATTGTTTCCAACTGTTCTGGTGCTTCCCCATGCACTCTGAATACCAGGATGCTGAGAGAGAGTGTGAGCTTGTATTCCAAATAAGGCATAAAAAGCAAGCCAAGAAAAAGTTTGTGATGTGGCAGCTGTGAGTACCCACTTCTCTGGGTTTTTAGGAGATGGTCTAGAATGCTTTGGAGGGAAATGTACTTTGTTTAGACAATCCAGGCTGCTAAAAGTTGGGGATTTACCATTTCTCCAGCCCAAACAGTCTGGACAGCTCTCATGCTAAGGGGAAACTCTTATCTCCCCACTTGGATCAGTGCTTTACCTGCTGGGCTGGGACAAACAACCTTCATGGCTACTACTGAGCCCATGGTGTCAGGATGCATCGTTTGGAGGGGACTGCCCAAGTTGCTCAGACCTGCCTGTGGGTCCTCATGTATGCCAATACAAAGATCATTGCACAAGTCTAAGCACTGCTGGAATCAGATATTAATTTTAGACTAAATCACTGAAATTTCACCTATGTCCTCCTCCAGTTTCATGCCTTTTGGGATCTATTTCCCTGCGCCCTTATCACAGACAGGCCAATTTAACAAACTGCTCAGTCATTTAGCCTCTACCAACTGGAAAAGCTAGGTGCTTTTGCCATCTTTCAGGGGACAATCCTGAAATGAGTGCTGTTTCACCATCTCAAATTATGGCTTTGGTGACTGCATTTTTTTAATACTTCACCCATTCTGTGCTGTATGCTAGCTGCTGAGATTCTCTGGTAAATCTTTTTTTATGACAGACTTTTCTTGGTTGCCAACTTTATCTTCAGAAAAAACTCATCAGTTCTGGAGTCAGGTACAGTAAGAGATGGCAAGATGCAGGCTGATGTAATGTATTAATCAAGAAAAAAATATATTGTGAACAACTGGAAAACAAGCTTTCATGCAATATTACAAGTTTAATACTCCTTGCTCTTTGCTGGCACGTTCATAGCACAGACAAGAAGTCACCCAGTAACACCACAACACTGCAGCTTCACTGCTGTAAGAAAATCCATTGCAGTTCTCAGAAGTTGCTTTACCTTGCTGTCTTTGTTACTGAGAAGAGAAAAGGAAAATTGGCGTTAGGGAAGGAATGGGGAGTAAAGGAGGCTCACAAATTTTTCTCAGGAGCATAAGAACTAACATTTCTTCAATATTCTCATACATTTTATTCTTTACCTGCCTCAGCTGTTTGGCTATTTCACAGAACAATTTTTTTGGCACAGTAAAGAAGTGCTTCTAGCTGAGTACCATGTGTTCTGTTCTTCTGAGTGTTCCTGGCATTGTCTCCTGGCTGATCAGTATTATTAACTTCATTTTCCATTAATTTTACTCATCTTCTTACTAGCCAAGAAACCTTCAGCACCCAAGGAAGAATTGGAAGATGCCAGTCTGCCAGCATCTGAAGACAGTCCACAAGCCTTACTTGCACCTGAAACCACAGATTCTCCCCAGAAACCGACAGAAGGAAATCCAGTGCAGCTTCCCAGCCCTCCATTGCTCCCAGCTCCACCACCTAAGGCAATCTCCAAAATCACAAAGAGTGTCACAGGTCAGTCATTGCCAGTCAGTACAGACTTTCCCAATCTCTTATACACTGTTCACTTATATGGTACAATTTTTTTTTTCTTACATCCATTTGCAAGGCTTGTGTTTGCAAGCTACTGTGAATCAGGCTAGTTGCAGTGAATGAATAGAATGCTAATGAATTCCCTGAACTGAGTGATCTGGATGCCAGATAAAAACACACTGATCTTTGTACTTTACATATCTATCCGTGGATTATTTGTTTTGCACTAAACACATGTAAAACATATCAAACCAACTGCAATCATCTGCTGAATCAGATGCTCATATTGATATGACATAAAACATGAGGAAGATTCTAATTTTTATTCATTATTTTTAACCTAGAATCCTGCTGCATAACAGTAAAATAGCCAAAAGAAAGTTCAAGTCAGTAGGCTTTGTAGAGGTTTCTGTCTTAAGGTTATGCTCTCTAGGGTAGTTCTAAACTAGAGCTATGAAATCTGGTCTAATTACACAGAATGCACATAAGTGATATACCTGGCTCCCACAACGCATTACTCCATGCCAGACTTCAGTGAATGTTTCAACAGCAGTTCCTCTGGGCCTGATTTTCTAATGTATTGCCAATGTTACTACATTTTCCAACATTCTGGCACTACAGAAGGGGTGTTAAAGTGAATATGATTTTAGTTTCTTCCAATTTTAGGGACCCCTACATATGGTAAAGGCAGTTAAAAGGGCCTTACTGCAAATTAGAATCAAGTCTTGACATCTAAATGCCAGACCTGTTGGGTATTTAGACTTTTAAATGACAGCCATTATCTCAGCCCTGATTTGCATCCCCACTGACACAAAGAACAGGGTTTTCAAAGTCACCAGGAAACAAAATATCAGAGAGACACTGATCAGACTACTGGAACTCACAGAAAACACTGGGGTTTTCTGTCTTTTTGAGGAAAATCACAAGTATTTGTTTCCAATGAAAAATGTTCATGTTTCATCCACACCTAAAGGCCATAAGAGTTTAAGTGTGACCTAGATTCAAGATGCTTCTTGGAGCTATTGTTCAGATTCTCTCACCATTCTCTGCTATAGGTCAAGCTCCGGCCTTTCTCTTCCACCTTGCAATATAAACTAGACAAACCAGGACTCCCCTTTGTCACTGCTCAACTGATAAGAGAGACATTCTGTGTTGGATTTAGGCCATTTGGAAAACCTAACTTGTAGAGAGTAACAAGGTTATGGACCCACTATACACTTAACAGCACTTTGAGTTTAGATATTTTGCTGCTTAACCTAAGTATTTCCTCTAACATCTGGGATATTTTGAGTTTTGCCATTTAATTTTCACCTAAATATTCCACAAAGAACAACTCTTGGTTTTCTCAATGGCTGCAGTAACTATGGACCTTTATCCAATGGTCATTATACATTTGTTTATTTTTGTTTGCAAGTGGAGGCAGTGGCAAGTTAAAACTAAACAAATACTGTCAGTGAGTGAAAGGGGATACAAATGTATGGGGAGAGACAAACAAAGAGCTATTAAAAAAGAAAAGGAACAAAGAGGTTGAAAAGCTCTTTTGTGTTTGGTTTTTTCCCATTTAACAATGCTGGAGATGTTGTTAGCAAAGGAGTGAGGAATGAGCCAAGCACCAATTAATCACAGAGAGAGGGGGAACAGGGCAAGGTGCCAAGACATCACTTTGCAAGATTATTCACTGAACAGCTGTTATTAGATTGAATAAGGTGTGATTTAAGGAAACGCAATATTGGCCCAAGCTGCAATGAGGACAAAATTGGCTGCTGGCCCATTTCAGAAACAAGCAAATATGAAGATAAAGCAAAGTGTCCTCTCTTCCTGCTTTGGGGTTGAGCTGAATGCAGGGTTCTAGCTCTGAGAAAATGCAACAACCCTCTCCCATTGAGCAGAGGTGGAAAACGAATTCAGAAGTATTTCCACAGGAGCACATGATCAGAATTGCTACTTGAATGCCGAACAAACATCTCTGCTTAGCAGAAGGTGGCTGTCTCGTGGGTGCAGAATGTCCTGATCAGCTCCAGGCTAGGAAGGCACCTCATTGCCAAGGCTCTGCACATCGGATGCCTAGAGACTTGAAGAAATGCTCCTGTGCTTTCAGACATTTTCAGATTTTTGATAGTGTAGTTTTTAGATCAGCTTGACCTCTGCCTCCTGGAGGTATAAAGAGATAGATTCAACAACTGTGGGCACTGATAAGAGGTCTGGGTCAGACGGAGAGAAATGTGCAAAAATGCCTTCTTAAAATCAAAAAATGATTTAGACCTCTCTTAGAATATGAAAGCAGATTGGCATCAGTGGTAAAATCTTGCTCTCTTCTCTACCATTTAAATGTAAAAAAGAGACTGGGCTTATTGTTCTTATGCTTTCAAAGTTTACTTTTGAATTTGGTTGTGGATACAGGAGCTCTCCTTCCCAACCCAAAGTGGCTTTACTGTTGCTCTCATTAATTCTGCTCTCCTACCTCAAAAACAGTAAACACGTTCTGTGAAAACAAATTTGTACAATACCTGTATAAGCTGTGTCAGTTTAAATTCCTGTCTACAACACTAGATGGCAACAAGAGAAAAGCAAAGTCCTTTTGCACGAAGATGTCAGGTTGCCTTTTTGCAACCAGACCGAACTATTGCAATAACCACCACCATATGCCAGGAAGTTTGGGACTGAGCTATGTGGAAAAAAGGGAAAGGAAAAGAGAACTGCAAAACAGAAAAACTAATCAGCATCTTTTCAGCCTAAGTGTTCAAGTATCTCAAGAATGCAAAACTACCAAACTTACAACTAGGGAAACATCTGCTGTGTTTTGGACTCAGGTGCTAGAGAATTTATGCATCAAAATCTAGCTTCCAGTAAAATGCTTATACAAGATTAAAAAAAACATCTGAGTTGAGATGTAAAACAAACAAACATGTTAGCTTGTCCTTTTCTTCTTATTCATTTCTTGGTGCTCAATACCACATCTTTCATTTGGATTTCATTTGGCAAGTTTTGTTATGTGAATGTTACATTACAATAATTTTGGCATTTCCTCAACTGGCATATGAAAGACAGGGGTCTGATCAGTGCAGTCATCACAGAAGAGCAGACAATAGACACTGGTACATTTTGTCCTGACTGTCAACCGCAGTGCATAAATTTTAATATAATCTGCCAGAGTCCAGCAGAGAAAGTGCTAGAATGGAAAGCCACCACAGTACAGGACATCAGTAGCTAACAAGAACAGCACTGACCATCAAGATTGCACTGGGAAAAGGAGAATATGACTGTGCGGGAGAAAAGGGATGTGGGGTAAGCATCTATTTTGCTACATCAAAGATGCAGACCTGCATAGCATGAGCCTTTTGAATTCAGATGGCTACTCAGCTTAACCATTTACCTCTTAGCAAGAACCAAACATTACTATTTTCTTCTATCAGATTAATTTCAGTGCAGGCTCTTTGCACAAAAATCCAAGTATTGCATGACCTTTTACCCTCCTGTATTTTGACAGCAGGAAGCGACACAGATGACCCAGCCATGAAGTCTCCTCCTTCCACTATCCTGAAGAATTATGTAGTTGTTGGCTCCTCTCAAATCTCAGGACAAGCTGGCCTCTTCCATTCCTCTGGCCAGAAAAGCTCCGAGTCGCACGTCAGAGGACAGGTAACAACGCCGACTGGCTCCCCTCACCTGGCTGCTGTCCACCTGCCTTTACCTCCCAGCAGAGTCATTGAAGAACTCCACAGGGCTCTGGCCACCAAACACCGGCAGGACAGGTACCTGCAGCCTCTTGGCTACATGGGTGCATGAGGAGTCATTCCACTAAATCATTTCTCTTGGTAAACACCCTTATCCTGTTTTTAGCATTTCAACCACTTCTACAGCTCGCCTTCATCTTCTTGAGGTCACTGCTTTGAACATGGTAGGTTTTCAAGCAGGTAGAAAGAGTTAATTATCTTTGGCCTACTGCAAAAGAAACTCTTCCAAACATATCAAGGTAGAGTAACTAAGGCAAACTGGCCTGTAAATATATCTGAGAAATGTTACTATTTCAGTATGTCTCTTGGCTTATACATGAGCCTATAGAGTATACATTTTCTAATACAAATGCTTTTGTGGGTGTACGTTGGGTACTTTATCTGGTTTTCATTATGAACCCTCCTCTGTATTAGAGAAAGACAGAAATAACCAGTGAAGTTAGTAACATTTCTCAGCTCCATAACAGCTACTGTTGTGGAGAAGAGATTCATTCAGTATTATTTCCATGTCCTCTGTCATGATCAGAAAATATCAGGAAGAGAATACTTCATGTCATGTGTGTTTTATGTTAGGGGTATGCACCTGTGTGTTTTCCTTTAATCAGTACAGCACAGCACATGATTATATATCAAACAAATACATCAGTCTCTGTACCTTATTATTACCCTTCTGTACCTTATGACAAACCTAGATCTCTGTGCTCATTATTGTCAGCAGTCTTGAGGATGCCATCCCCTGTTCTCCCATACTGAACTCTCTGTCCTGGCTTTTATGAGCTACAGGCCATGCTAGTCATTTTCATATAGTGATAAGTTCCTACTGTGGCACTAAAACAGTGTTTTGTAAAAACTGGGCTCGACCTTCCACCCACAGCTTCCATGGAAGAGAAAGCAAAGGCTCTCCAAAAAAAAGAGTGGATGTCCGTCCATCCAGAACGTCTAGCATTGAGCGCAACAAAGAAAAGGAGAACTCCCTGAATTACAGCAGTGATACAGAAAATAAGAGGAATTCAGTTAAAGAGTCGGATGAGAACAAAGAAAACATGATAATGAACTCAGAGCTTAAGGAAGACTCTGTTTTTTATCAGGATGAGGAAGTTTTGAATGACTCCATTATTTCTGGTAAGGAAAGTCACTCATTTCATTATATACTATTGAAGCCTAACGTAATGTTCTATAAAACAACAGAAAACACTGAGCACTATAAATTATTCTGTGTGGTGGCACAACACAAATCCAAAGTTATAACATAAATCCAAATCATACAGGGTTCCAGCCGCAAAGTGTCTGAGGTGGCTGCAATGGATGAATACTTGGCAAGCTAGGCAACACAGTGGCTCAGACTGTGGATTCCTACTGTGGAGTGCTTATATGACCCAGAAGAAAGCAGCTTCAGAGATATGATGCTGCCCATTCATATGGTGCAAGCTGGAATATAAGCAAGGCATTTCTGGTCTTGACACTGAATGGCACTGCTTCTGTCAGCGTTCATTCAAATGCCTCTATTTGCATTTTAGAGAGAATGAGAGATGCAGAAGTGGCAGGAATAACACCAGAATAATTCACTAAAAGTAAAGGTTCTTTCTAGTTTTAAAAATCTGGGCTGGTTTGAAAATCAGGATATAAATTATCAATTAATCCAGAGTTACTTTATGATTACTGTACTGTGTTTTCACATCACCAAATTAGTCATTGCCATTCTGCATGTAGCTTTGAACTGGTAACAGATGCAAACAAGGTCCTTGCATTAGTGTGCAGTATTTGGATTTGCCTTTTGCTTGATAGAATGAGCAGTAAACATACAAGAAAATAAATGTCAGGATTCAATTGAGTTAACACAGGAACTTTTGTTGGGAACCTGCAGAGACCAAACATGAAAAAGGTATGAGTTCTCAAAACATTTGTTGTCCTAGCTGAGCTGCCATAAATTGTGAAACAAGGCATAACCATGGTCATGGGACACACTGGCATTGAACACATCATACTGACAAGGAGAAATTAATCATTAGGAAGAAAATAGATAAAGATATTTGCATTTTCAGTTTCCACTGAGATAGTGATTAGGAAGGATTTTGTCTCAAGGTGTTGACAATGGATATGGGGAAAACTGGGGCTTTGTTTCCTTTGTTCTCTCCCCCCCCCTTTTTTTTTTTAAATTATTATTTGTTTGATTTGGTTTATTTGGTTCAATTCTGAAGCATCAAAAATGGATCTCTGCAGGAGGTGAAATAACAGAACTGGCCACCAGCGGGCCAGTCAAGGTGAGAACAGACCCTGCTGTTATCTGAAGAGGGTAACACCATCTCCCTCCTTTCATTTTGTCTGGCAGGTATTATTTTTCAGGAATTAACCCAATTGGTCAGGCATGGGAAGCAGCTCTTCGGACTATGAGATCAGCTTAATCCAGCTCTCTTGCATTTTTATTTGGTAAAATACCCTAAAGATTAATGAGTGCATAGTGCATATGGACCATGGGAGTGGCTATAGCATAAGCCTTTTAGAAATCCTAACATCTGGATGAAGTGAGCACAGCTTATCCTGTGTGGGTTGTATGCTCTCTACTCCTTTAATACTGCAGAGGGATTTGGGTTAAAGTTGAGATTTTTCAGTTATGATTGGTGTTTTTAATTTCACAGAGTAGTAGACTTTTGAAGTCTGCAGAAGAGTAGTCTGGGAGTGGTCAGAGCTTGGAAGAGCAGCTGCATTTTACTTTGTCTCAATGTATTGCATTGTTCCATCTCACTTTGAAAATACAAGCTTCTAGAGAACATACTGAGATAGCTTAATTCAGTGTCTGCACTTCAGCTTCAAAAACTGACTTCTTGCAAAAAGGTGCATGCAGTCTTCTACCTGCACAGCATAAGTTTCAGCTGACTTTCAAATGGATGAGGGCAGCAGAAAACAACCCTGACTTTGTCTGAGCAAATAATCACCATGATTCTAGCTCTTGTTCTCCCATAATCCAAACATGAGATATAGCATGACATAGCAGGTAGTTTTAGAGCATCCTGGTGAGAGCAGGAATAGTTCTGCATGCTTATACCTCAGCTGTCACTGATAAATAGGAGAATAACCATTTAGAGCACACCTCTACAATTTAAAAAGCATATAGAAAAAGTGTTGTGTGCACATGTATAGCTCCCTTGTTTTCTTCTATAGAGTTCTGGACAGAGAAATCCACATGTGCTGCATGGTGTATACATATCTTGCTTTCAGTGCACACAAAATGCACTGAACTGCCTGTAAATCCACCACACAGATGGCCAGCACATGGGCAGCATGTCTGTCGTGTTCAAGAGACACTGGGCTTAGTGTGCATGTGCAGTCTCTCTGCAGCAACCTCCTGGCATGACCAAATTCCCCTTAGTGCCTGTTTAAAACTTTCAGGTGAAAATGAGAGCGTATTCAGGGATAAATGGGAAACTGTTCCTTCATGTGCTGCTTGGGTTGAGCACTGCTAACACCCATTTTTCATCCACTCCCATTGAGGTGAAGGCTTAAAAAAGCTTGACTGAGTCCCAGGCCTGTGGCTTAGTAATCCAAGTGTTTCTGATGGAGACATACTCATTTAGCAGAATGCTCTGTGTGCAGCAGCCAAATAATTTAACTTCTTTTACCCATCTGTTAAACACATATCTAATTCTTCACAGAGGGCTGTATGGTTTAATTTAATTAAAGCTGGCAACAGACTTCGAAAGCATTAAGAGGAAGGTGCTAAACAAGGGCACAGCTTTCAGATTCCAGTCAGGGTTTTGAACTCATTCATTTTAGGTCATTGCAACTATTTAGAGACTTGCCCCTTCTTACCCAGGGATTCCATACCTACTGTCTGCCCCACTTTTCCCAAGATGCATATGTGGATGTGCTATAGATTTTTCCTCCCTGCATGAAGAAATTCAAGATCAATAGTGACAATAATAATAATGTAGTCCCCCAGATCTTGGGCAAATAAACTGCCAATATTTGAAAATGAGAATCTATTTAGGATTTAGTATCTTGCCATCCTCCAGAGCATCCCTTTTAAAGCAGACTTTAATCCTATCTCAAATGCCAAATAAAAATACCAATTAAATGTCATTTTCTTTATAAGTGAGATGACCTTTCTTAGAAAAGGTGAAACCTTTTTTTTTTTTTAAAGGGCCACAAAACACAACCACTGTTAAAGTAAAAAGGTACCAAACCAAAAAACAGCTATTGCACACCATGCTCCCAAGATCAAGCAGATTGATGGTTTAACTGCAGCTCCTGAGTACTCTGGCAACATCCATCTGACTGGTGCTACTCTGCACTGAGAATTTTCTGACTGCTGAAGTCCTGGACTGGACCATAGAATGGCCAGGACAGCACAGCAGAGGCATATAGGACTCTGGTGTAAATTTACTTGCTGCAATATACCTGTAATTAATTACTAGAAGACTGCAGTCCTTCCAGGGTGACTCAGCAGCTCACTGAGCTTTAATAGCACTTCCATTTTCCTCTCTGCACACCGTAAGCAATCCACTCCTCAGCAGATAGAGACTTCACTTCAGGCTTCTAATCTGCATTTGAGAATGAAGACTGATTTCTTTGTAAGCAGTTAGAGTTCACAGTCTTTTTGTGGTATACCTTTCCAAACACACGGCAAAATGGTTGTATGAGCTCAGTTTTCACTTGCTTAGCCTGCTTAAGCCTGAAGAGCTACAACAAGAGATGCGGATACACCAAAGCTCAGGCGATTCCTTCCAGTGAAAGAGTGCTTCAAATGTCACCAGCAGGACAGCATCAGGGACCAAACATTCTGCACATCAAGAGCAGTAAACTCATGAAAACAGGTTCTGCACATCTTCCTTGAAGAGCTCTTTTTAATGGCAATATTGTAGATCATCTTTTTTTGATAGAAAACACGTGTTAGTACATTTAACAGTAAGCAGAACAGGACATGCAATCACAATAAGTATCTATGCTCTGTGTTGCCCAATTAACTTGCTAACATTCTGGAAAGTGCCACAACATATTATTTTCTTTCATTCTTTGGAATATTTTCCCCTGCTCTCTTCAGAAGAAAAAGCCTAAAGTGAAGAGTATACTATTGATTTGCAATTCTGTTATGACACATTGTCACCTTGGACAGGATGCAGATACATGTAATGGCTTACATGCAATGCTATACACAGTGTTAGTGTCTGCTAACACAGTTTTGGTTTTCTATGTCTGAAAGAACAATGACATTAAAAAGCCATAATTAGATGTAAAATAAAAATAGAGTGACCAACTCTGACTGTCTCAGTTACCATTTCCTATTGCTTGTTTATGCCTGGTCACCCAGAGGGGAAGATGCACATATTCTGGCCACCTGTTGAGCCATCCCATCTTTCTGCAAAGGAACCACTAAATGATTCATGGAAGAGGGTTTGCTCTCAGCTATAGGGATGCTCAGAGGTCTGAGACAAGATGCACAGCCTTTGATTCCTGAACTAAAGGTGTAAGTCATATCTCAGCTGAAAATAATTTTCTCCTGAAACCATTGCTTGCTTATGAAGGCCAGTAAAGACAACAGAGGACTACAACCCTTCTGCATTTGTAAGCAGTTTATTGTCAGAGCCCTAATCACAAGCACAGTTGTATCACTGCTTATATGATTGTGTGTTACTGCTCACTGCACACTAACTTACAAGTCACCATCTCTGCACAGTTTCCCACTCTTTACATGTTCATTTTTCATCTCCAGGAACTGTCTCTAATGCCTTTCTTTACAATCCATATCCCAGGTACTTTGCCAAGAAAATGCAAGAAAGAACTGTTGGCAGTAAAACTACGAAACAGACCAAGCAAGCAGGAGCTGGAAGACAGGAATATTTTCCCGAGGAGGACAGATGAGGAAAGACAGGAAATCCGGCAGCAAATTGAAATGAAGCTCTCAAAGTAAGTTATCTGAGAATAGGGGGGAATCTCCCTTTTCAATGAAGTGTCTTCTTAGTACCGTCAGATGAGAAATTGTGAGCTCATTTCCAGCAGTGAATAACACAAAATCTAACACATCACATTTTCGGCTGTCAGTCAGTCACATGAAAAAATCTTAACTGCCTCTTCAGTCAGGATTCCCTTGATTTCAGTGGAAAACAAGACATGAGTAAATGGAAGTTATAAACCTCCACATCTACCTGTGGTTCCACAGATGTGATTAAGATTTTGAAGTCCTCTAAAAAGGCTAGTGCTTTAATGTAACAACAGTAATCTGATTATGTATTGATCTGATCTGGCCTGGCCAGCACTAGCTGAATTTAAGTTGAAGGGCCATTCTATAACTGCATGCTCAAAGAAGGGGAAGCTCCTGAGTGTGTTGGTGGCTGTGTTTCTGTTTTAAGGGAGGAGCAGATTCAGCAGCATTGCTGACACATGGGTAACGTGTTTGTGCAAGTCCTGCTGCGGGGATGGCAGGAATGGTCTGGTTTTGATCAGTAACCAGGGCAACAGTGTAGAGCTGGGTGAGAAACAGCGTAACTGTGGCGTGTAGCCTAAAGCAAAGACTGAAGGTAACCATGGGACTGCATCATTTGTTTTTCTGTGTGTGTGCGTGCAGTTGGTTTTTTGGTTTTTGTTTTCCCCCTAAAAGCTACATTTGGGTATCTGGAAGCATGAATTTTTTAGATGAGACAAAGTAGATTGCTAAATAATGTGTGCTGTGCCTGCCCACTGTTGAGGCAATGCAACAGCCCACACTGGGACAGCAAGCGCTGCTCGCTGCCAAATCAAACTGAGAAACACTAACAGAAGTTCATTTCCAAAGCTTATTAAATATTAAATATTTCAAGTCTTTCCTGAAAGAAACACTTATTGATATTTAAGGCTAGCTCATTCATGTGTATGCATTTGATTAAACTTTACCTCAGGGGACAGTGAATGAGAGACACATATGGATCAAAATACAAGTCCTAACAGACCAGCGCTTTTGGGAGGAAACACCCCTGCCACCACCACACTTGCTAAGAAATGAGATGCTGAATGAACATGGATGAGATTAAGGGAAATGTCCTGATGCCCCTGCAGTGTTGGATGCAGCAGTCACCTTCTTCCAGACTCCTAGGAACCACTGTTCATTCTTTGTTTCATGGCAGCACCTTACACCCAAAGGAACGTGACTGCAAGACAGCAAATGACAGCTCCTGTACAAAAAATACATACATCCTATGCAAGCAGAAAATCCCATGTTACAGTTTACATCAAATTCTAAGAGATACAGCCAGAGTAAGCCACAGATGTGCCTTAATAGCCATTATTTCAGGAGAGAAAGTAGACCTGATGTATTCATTTCAGGGAAATATTTCAAGTTGCACTTTGATACTGTTAAGTCTAGTATTTTGGCCCAACAAAAAGAAATGTTTTCATAGATCAGGTGCCTAATTTTACTGCTCTAAAATACACCAACAAAAAGGTTGCCATCCCACTGCATCCTTTAAAAACAAGCTGAACCACCACCTGTATTCAGAGGGATAAGATTATCTCATCGGCAGCCACACCTCATCCTGCTGAAATGCCTGGAAGGTCACCTCTCTCTTCAACACCACCTGACTTCTGATCTGAAAGGTCTGATGGAATTGCAGCTTGAGGTGGCATAACTGCAGGTTTTATCTTTTTCATTTCATTTGCCATTTTACTTCCTTAATAATAAGCCCGGACAATTATTTTAAAGGAGTCATAATTCAACTATCAGTACAAGGACTTAAAAAGAAAACTGCTCTGCTGGTGAAGAAAGGGACTGGTCATGACTAGAAGCTAGGAAATGTACTCTCTATAGGTAAAGGCAGTAAAGATAGTCCCCATATTGTCTCTTATGATCTCACAAAGCAATCTGTGGTGCAGGCTATTAGTCTCAATGGTTATGTGTAGAGGATGGCTAAAAGCCAGCTTTGTTCCAAGTGCTGGAAGACAGTCTTTCATTTAGATGCTTCCTCCTGGAATGTGTCAGGTTCAGCGCATCTAGGGAAACAGACGGTGCAGAGATTGCTGGAATAGCCAGGAATGGCAAAACAGATTGGAAGCAACCTCCCACACAACTTCCAGCACATATGTGCACTGGCAGAGCTCAGCTCACTCTTAACTCATCCGTCAGAATAGAATGGGACCATGCAAACAAGCTCAGGTGACGGATGCACAAAAGCAGTATTTACACCAAGAAAACCAAGGAATGTGTTAAAAAATGAAAAATAAAATCCCAAACCTAAAAGTTGGTGCTGGCAAAGGCAGAGGAGTCACAGCCCTCGACTCATCCCTCTGGAGTTTCTGACTAGTTCTCACTCCCTACAGCACAGACCACCCCAGAGTCCCCACTCAGAGCACAACCTGACAGCAGCATGGAAACACAACCACACTGGGAAGAAGAATGAGAATCTTGGATGAGCTTTTGAGGTCTTCACATTCATTCATTTAATGATACTTGTGCAGCTGAATCTCTCTGTAGGTGTGACAGCTTAGAAGTTTACAGCATACTGCTAAGTGCTCAAGTATGAGGTACTATCAGGCAATTGGGGTCCAATAGGCATGAATGCTTGCTGTACAATCTTGCCATTTCCTGTGCAGATTAGAGCATATTACTTCTGTACTGGTAGCATTTTGATAATTGCAATGGGACTTGCCTGCTCAGCTGTGAATCTAGATATACCATCAGGCTGTAGACCTGTCCTTCTGCACAAGAGAATAATGTACAAGCAAATTAGAGAGTTGTTATTCAATTGCTGACTGCATCAGAATAGCAAGTAAACAGGCAGCTGTTTTCAAGATCAATATTTTACAGCACATTTGTAGGGATTTGAAAGTTTATAGCTGCCTGGAAAATTGCTTGTTTCACAGCTAACACAACCTAGCTCTGTAGTCTAGAAAGAAAGCTATGCTGATGTATGTAATGTACAAAACACATCAATAATGGCATCTAAGTAACTTAAAAAATAGGGAGAGAGAAGAAAAGTACTTTATCAAAACCACTGTATTTTTTCTAAATGGTTCTAGTTGAAATACATTTGGGGGTAGTTGTGAATCTGGCAATAAAGCCAACTCTGTGCTGTCATGCTCATGAGTGTTTGCACAACCAAAACGAATACTTATTTTTCTTCACTTTCCCATCATGTATTTCCCATCTTCTGTGCTTCCAAGCCAAATTATCACTTGTTGCCGTGGAAACACAGACATCTCCCTCTTCCTCCATCCAAACCGGTAGTGTTCCATCTTCCCCATATTTCCCTTTCCAGTCATGTTTTCTGTTATTAATTCATGCATCCCCGTGCCCATGGCCACAATACGTGCTTGCAATATTCTACTGTGCATTAGACAACAGAGATTTTGATATTCCAGGCTCCCAACAGGTCTCGTTTCCAATTATGATGGGTTCACAGCACAGATAATAAGCCCTCCATGGAATTCAATGAATTGAGAGCTCTTTGTGTCAAGAGGCAGAGAAGACATTTGCAAGTACGATTATTTGCAAGAACTGCTTTCTGTCTTACAGACCCACTTAGTTCTAGGAGGAGTTTTAGCTGAAATTTGGAGAAGTAAAATAGTTGCTCAACTGAAAAGTGATGTAAGAAAGGGTTGTTTAATTAAATTTGATATCTGACTGCTTGGGAAGTTAATGTTTGAGCTGCCTGGGTGGCTGGTGCTTCTCAGGCACGCTTTGTATAACCACAGTTAAAGACACTCCATTATTACTTAATGTTTCAACAAAAACATGAATTCTCGGAAAAGATTGTACTTGTAATTTTCACTTCATGTTCTGTGTCACCTCCTTGGATATTTGCATAAGTAGACATGAAACATTAAGCAGCACTTAGAAGATTATGGAGATGGGAATTCATATGCAGAAGTGTGGGCATAAAAGGAGTCACACAGGAAGAGTGACAGCTTTGTGAACCTAAAACTCATCTAAACCACTTTGGAAATCCTGGCCTGGGGAAGCAGATCATGCTGGGGCAAGATTTCTTGTCCATGTAAATTGGCAAAGAAGGTATCTTTATTCAGATTTACCACATCTGGGTATCTGCAGTTCTAGTGCTGCCCTGAGGTTCTCAGAAAGGCATTTGCAAGTTGACTTCCCAGAAAGTGCAGACGTAGCAAAATGCATAGCCAGATTAGGCTCAGGTTTGCAGCTCAGCCTCACGTAACAAAGCGTGAAGTTCACAGCACTGCTGAAGGCAGAACACCAAGAAAACAGCACTTCAGATTTGCAGCCTGAAAGCATAAGGTGTGACGGTTCAACACAGAGCAGTCATAAAGGAAAATTTTACCTATTGTGTCCTGTTTCCTAAGAACGACACATCCAGCACTGTTTCCTCATGGGAATGGCTCAGAGCAGCTCTGCTGACTGGGAAGGAATCAGCCCTCCAGAGGCATCCACTGGGAAAGCGGGCTGAATTTACAGGATTTGGGGGCATACTTTACTTGATTTGGTCGAAAGGAGAGTGAGGTACAATATGTTAATAGCCCTAATGCAGAAAAGTGTTGAGCGGGTGCTGAACTGAGCCCAGTTTAGAGATTGCCCTAAATTTACCTGGAGATTATTGAGTTTTGGGGTTTTTTTGATGCAGCTCTGGCTGTGCTCTGGCTGAAGTAGAAATTAGGGAACCGTCCTGATTTAGATCATAATTTCAGACTGGCTGGGAAGACATGACACAGATTTGTGTCAGAGACAGAAAGGCAGGAGCAGAGAAAAGCTCGGGTGTCACCGCTAATTAGCTGTGTACGATTTACTGCATGCCTTCCTCATTTGGCAGGAATCCTCCAGGTTACCTTGTCACCAATGCTAAAAATAACCCTGGTGAGTGCAGTGTGGGTGTCTGCACAACCCGCAGCTCCTTGCATATGACACAAGCTATATATAGAGCCAGAATTTAATTCCGTGGGCATGTGGGTAAGCCAGGGGAGTCTCCTGCTCT